GCTCACAACAGGGCACTGAGAGTGCCTGGCACAGAGCTCACAACAGGGCACCGGGAGTGCCTGGCACAGAGCTCACAACAGGGCACTGAGAGTGCCTGGCACAGAGCTCACAACAGGCACTGGGAGTGCCAGGCACAGAGCTCACAACAGGGCACCGGGAGTGCCTGGCACAGCGCTCACAACAGGGCACGGTGATTGCCTGGCACAGAGCTCACAACAGGGCACGGGGAGTGCCAGGCACAGAGCTCACACACAACAGCCAGTGGGAGCCCATGACACAGGACTCACACAGCAAGGTCATGGGAGCTGATTTCAGTGCACCATGGCCCAGGCATTTGGGAGGCTGGAATCCGGCTGGTGGATGAGAGCATCACTCAGCCCTCACTTACCCATCTCTTCTGTGAGCCCCCATTTCATCCACTGGAGCCTGCAGCGCCTCCCTGAGTGACCCGGGGGCGCAGGGCGAACGGTCCTTCACTGCACAGTTGAGTTCTGGTTTATCCTTTGGCTCGGCCCATAGCTGAGCCTTCTCTCTTCGCTTACCCCCCCGATCTATGGGGCCGGCCCCCACGCCCCGCTGGACACGACCCATAACAACTGCCATTCATGTTTTCTAGGACCCTGCGTGTGCTCGCCAGCCAGCCCAAGGGGGTGATGACACTAAGAGAGCACCCAGAGCTGGAACCCTTCCTGCAGGTACACGGTCACCATGCGACTGGGCAGCGGCTCAGGCTGGGCCACATTCTGATCGCAGCGATACTGGGGTAAAATCAAGAGCACCAGTTTCAGATCTCACCGCTGTCACAAGATTGATTTGGCTGGAGTTACTCCAGATTTACACCGGGGAAACAGAGATAAGAATCCAGCCCCCGGAGTCACTTCAGATTTACACCAAGATCAGAATCTGTCCCATTGTACCATCAAACAATTCTTAATATGAATCCCTTGTTTTCCAGAGTATCCCGAATGTGCTAGGTGCTGTCCAAACACAAATGATCCTGCCCCTCCCCCATGCTAGCCGACAGCCCCCTTGAACTCCCCTCCGAGCTCTATTCCTTCAGTCAAGTCCAGGAAGTTTGGGGGTTGGGGGGGAGGGAGAGGACTGGTCAAACATTTTCCGTCAAAACTCTTTTTTGACAGAAAATTGGGTTTTCTACTAAACAAAATTGTCTCGTAAGAAGTGGCTCCTTTTCCTGCAGAATTCTGATTTTTTTTATCAAGAAACCTATAATATTTTTATTTGGAAACACTGTCACAAGGCCTCGTGGGAACTGTAGTTCAGTTACCTCACATTTCTATTCTCCTCAATGGGCTGGGCTCCCTGCCTGCACTGCATCTCCCATGATGCACCTCAGCAAGGGACTCCCATAATGTGGGGACCTTGTTGCATCATGGGAGATGTAGTCCGATCAATGAGCTCAGCCTGTAGAGGAGAATGGAAGCATGAGGCTCCTGAAGTACAACTCCCATAAGGCAATGCTGCATCATTTCCAAATCAAAATATTTTGATATTGAAATTTCTGCTTGAAAAAAAAATTTCTATGGAAACCCCCATTTTGTGTCCAGCTCTACTTGTGCGTTACTGTCCACACTGGTGCAAGGTACTGCCCGCATCAGTGAAGACAGCGTTTTCTCCCCACAGGAAGTGGCTGCCTCAGAGACAGTAGGACAAGAGCTGCTAGAGGAAGTGACTGGCACCCTGGCCAAGCTCCGGCGCCTCCCGAAACCCCCGCCCCCGGAAGCCAAAGTTCTGGATTCTGGTTCCATCCAGGTGGCCTGGGAAAGTTTCAGGCCTCAGAGCAGCCTTGAGGTCAATTACAGGTGCTAGCATGAGAGTCCAGCATCCTCTAGGAATGCACTGAGCAGAGCGGGGTGACTTTGACCTTGGGTGCAGGGATATAAAGTGTAATGGGAAGGAGAGGAGCCTGCCTGGCTCACCATGACCCTAGGGCTATCCTCTACACAACCCCCTAGAGACGAGTTCTGTTGTCGGGTTTGGCTCTGTAGATCTAGGGTAACAATTCTCTTGGATCTATGGGCCTGATTTGGAGCTTCCATTGGGTTTACACTAGTAAGACTTCAATGGAGAGTGATGCTTGGTGTGATCTGTTCCCCCCCTTTAAGATGCCACCTGATGTGCTGAGATACCATGGAGCCCTCCTGTTCTACCAGCCTGGGCCCCCTTTAACCTGTCTTGCTGAGCCAGGCTCTTAAGCCTAGGGTTACCATTCGTCCGGATTCTGCCAGACATGTCCGGCTTCTGCCAGACATGTCCGGCTTTTTTGAGTTAAAAGTAGCATCCGGGGAGAATTTGTAAATGTCCGGATTTTCCCCCCATGCAGAGCGCGCGCGGCTGACAGGGCAGCCGGCCGGATCGTGCCACTCGCACGGGGCTCTGGCTGCCAGAGCCCCTCCTCCGCTTCCCCCTCCTCTCCCCTGCAGCTTGAGATCACTCCCCTCCTCTCTCTCCCCCCCACCCCGCATTCGCAGATCGCCGGCCGGCCGTTCGCATCGGGCCTCCGGCAGTCTGGAGCTCCTGCTCCCCCTCCCCTGCTCCCTGCTCCGCAGCACTCTGTTCTGAGCGGCACAGTAATGGGGCCAGGGGGTCGGAGAAGGGGCAGGGAGGTTCTGGAGGGAGCAGTCAAGAGATAGGGAGCAGGGTTGGATGGGTCGGGAGTTTTGGGGGGGGCCATCTGGGGGTTGGGGGTGTAAGGTTTTGGGCAGTCAGGGTACTGGTAGGGGGTAGGGTCCTAGGGGGGCACTTAGGGTGGGGGGGTCTCAGGAGGGGGCAGTTAGGGGAAAAGGAACAGGGAGGCTTAAGTAGGGGGTGGGGTTCTGGAGGGCAGTTAGGAGCAGGGGTCCCAGGAGGGGGCAGTCAGGGGACAGGGAGCGGGGAGAGGGATCGGAGGGGGTGTGGGAGTCCTTGGTGTCTGTCTGGGGGTGGGGGTGTGGATAAGGGTTGGGGCAGTCAGGGGACAGATATGCGGTAGGGTCCTAGGGGGCCAGTTAGGATGGGGGGAGGGTCTCAGGAGGGGGCAGTCAGGGGACAGGTAGGGAATAGGGTCCTAGGGGGCCAGTTAGGATGGGGGGAAGGTCTCAGGAGGGGGCAGTCAGGGGACAAGGAGCAGGGAGGCTTAGGTAGGGGGTGGAGTCCTGGGGGGCAGTTAGGGGCAGGGGTCCCAGGAGGGGCAGTCAGGGGACAAGGAGTGGGCAGGAGGGTTGGGGGGTTCTGAGGGGGGCGGGAAGTGGGAGGGAGTGGAAGGGGAAGGGGCAGGGCTAGGGCAGGACGGGAGCGGGACTAGGGCGGGGCTCCTCCCATCCTCTTTTTTGATTGTTGAAATATGGTAACCCTACTTAAGCCTCCTCTAGCGCACACAGGCAGGGCCACCCCCAACTGCAGAATGACGCAGACACTGAGATCAGCTCTGGGAAGAATCAGCTTAAGGGACTTGCCCCAGCAAACCCAAAGGTATATTATGAAATCCGCCTCCTCCCTCAATGTGGAGGAAGGTATGCACGGCCTCTTACCCGCCCCCCAATTATGAATTGAACAAACTAGGTTTCAGAATAAACAAAAAACAAGTTTTTTAACTAGAAAGAGTAGATTTTAAGTGAGTATAAGAGATAACAAACAGAACAAAGCAGATTACTAAGCAAATAAATTAAAACACACAAACTAAGCTTGATTCACTAAAAAAACAGGTTACAGAATGTAATTTCTCCCCCTAAATGTTGAATTAGGCAGGATGCAGAGTTTCTGTAACTCAGAGTTCCAGTTATTTCTTCTTATAGACTGGACCCTGTCTCAGTCTGGACTCTCCCCTGCCTTTCCCTTCAGGTTAGTTCCTTTGTTCCTCCAGATACTTTCCGCAGTCCTCCTTCTTGGGTAGGCGATGGAAGAGAGTCTCCTTTGCCTTCCTCCCCACCTTTAAATAAGATTTACAGAAGGCGGGAATCCTTTGTTTCCCAAACTTGACCCCCCCCTCCCCCTTCCCTTTTAGTGGAAAGTTACAAGAAATCCAGGATAATGTTTAGTATCAGGTAACAAGAGCACCTGACCTAGTAGTGTCACAGTTACGTCCCAGGACGCCTCCCAACAGGGAGAGAGATTAATATCTTCAGTCTTGTTGTTTCTTCCTGATGGCTCATCAGATCTGATGGCCAGTTGTCTGGTGGGTGTCTTCCTGATGCACACCCACTTGTAATTGTTACATAGTCCATATTCCTAACTTTAGATACAGAAATGAGACATGCATTCAAATTGGATAATTACATTCAGTAAATCATAACCTTTCCAATGATCCCTTACATGAGCCATCTCACATGAAGTATATCTCAGTTATGTCATATCCATATCATAAGCATATTTTCACAAAGAATACGGAGTGTAATGTCACACTGGGGTTATGCAACTGCAAGCGGAATCTGACTCTGTGGTCTCCAGTGGGGTGCCGGGTTGGTGGAAGTTGTACCACTTTGCCTCCTGCACTAGTTTTACAACCCATTTACACTGAACGCCTGGTTCTCCTCTCAGTGACCTCAGCAGAGTTACTCCTGATTTACACCCATGCCAGTCAGACCAGAACCATGCCCCTGCCGTGTCACTGTCTACTCCCGTTCCCATCCTTGGTTGTGATGCGGCCTGCCGCCATATAGGATTGACCCTTTGCGCCAGATCTGGCTCTCGGTCACACTGGTGTAAATCCAGAGTAACTCTCTGAAGGCCATGGAGCTACCCCTGACCAGTGGGACTGAGAGCAGAATCTGGCCCTCTATCTGCTGGGCTAGCATGTCTTTGGGTCTAGTCTTGGCTGACCTGAGAAGACACCACGTTCTCTTCTGCTGAGTGGTTCTGTTATCTCCCGCTGTGTCTGCAGGCTCTACGAGGGGGGCGCCCTGCTGTACCGAGGGCCAGCGCTCAGCTATGCCTTCGCAGGCAGCGGGCCACGCCAGGAATACCGCTTTCAGCTCTGCCTTGAGGCCAGGGGCGACCGGGGGCCGTGCAGCGATGTTACGGTGCTGCCCAGAGAAGAGCCGGTGCCCAGTTGCCCCTTGGACTTCCGCGTGACAGCTCGCACAGCCACCCAGTTAAAAGTGAGCTGGGCCCCTCCGGCCGAGCCCAGCGGCCCCATCAAACACTACACAGTGTACAGGGAGGAGACCCTGGTGGGCTCCACCCCAGAACTCAGCTGTGTTGTGGGCGGCTTGGCCCCTTCCGCGAGCTACCGGCTCAGCGTCTGCGCATGCACCAGCAAAGCCCAGGGAGAGAAGGCCGCCCTGCTCATCAAGACCATGTCCCTGAGGAGCCATGCCCCGGAGAGGTTAACCCTCGTAGTGCTGGGGCGCAGTGAGATCTTTGTGACATGGGATGTGCCCAAAGCGCCCCTGGGACGCTTCTTTAACTATGAGCTGTGCCTGAACGGGGAAGTGGTGTACCTGGGCACGGCACGCTCCTACATGGCCCGCCGGCTCAGAGCCAACACGGCCTACACCTGCACCGTCAGCGCCCTCACCAGCGCGGGGCGCTGCGTCAGCCGGCCAGTCACCAAACGCACGCCCAGGGATGAGTACAGTGATGTCAGCAGGTGAGATCTTGCTCTCACAGCCACACGGTGCCCCGTTGTCCCCAACATCACCACCCCGAAAACATCCCTGCCTTGGCCAGACCCACCACCACCCTGGTGCCCTTTTACCACCACCTCCACACTCCTCTACCCTACTCAGCACTACCACTATGACACTGCCCCAGCCTGTGTCCAGACCCGGCCCTACCCCGGCCATGTTCACCACAGCCTCCACAGTGACACCCCCGTCACACTGTGCCACCCCCTTTGTGCCACTCCCGCTGCCCTCTTTCCTATACCCAAATGTGGCTTGCCCACCAGCCAAGCTGAGCCCACACCTTTCCAGAGCTTGGTCTAGACTGGAGCTAGGTTCTCCAGCACCATTCCCTGAGCCTGGATTTAAAGCAGTTCTTGTGTGTTGCCTGCTCCCCTAGGTACCATTACCCCTCCCCAGGGAGCGGGCAGCCTGCCACAGCCTCAGCGCCCAGCGAGACTCCGGAAATCCCTCAGGAGCCAGGAAGGGGCAGAGGCAACGCAGGGGAGTCGCTCAAACCTTCCCCTGCCAGGACCCCGAGAGCCCCTCTCCGGCTGAGCAGAAGGGCCAGTAAATGCTGGGAGATCAAGAGCAGCGCGAACCCCGCTGCCACGCCCAGGTACGGCTCGGTGCCGAGCAGCTGCTGCAGGCGCTCTGGCTGGGATCTCTTCCATGGGGACCTGCAGGTGGGAACCAGGGGAGGGGATGGGGCAGACGAGAGACATGAGGGGATCCCGTCACCCCTGCGCACCGCCGAGGGCACAGGCCACGGGACCCTGCTGCCAGTTCCGAAGCATGGCTGGAGGATCACACCTCATGCCATGGCTGGAGGGCAGAGCGTCAGCACCTGTGCCCCCTTCGCTCTGCCCCGACATGCCCCTGGGGTTCGATCGCTGTCCCCGTCCCACCTGAGGTGGTTCTACAGCCTGGCGCTAAGAGAGCTGCTGATCTTCCTCCCCCAGGAGAGAGCCTGCTCTGTCCTGCTCCAGACAGCCAAGCCAGGCGACGCGAGCTGCCAGCCCTGCCAAGGTGGGTACGGGCAGCACCCTCCCCCCCAAACACACACTGGGAACAGGTCAGGCCAGGAACCTGAGACCCCACAGGCCTGATGCAACGTTGGAAGCAGCAGGGGTGGGGGCTTGGCTCAGGTGCCCGGTGGGGAAGGGGAACAGCTGGTGTCTGATACTTCTCCATTAACCATCCCCGGGGTTCTGCTCCACCCTCCAAAGCCCTGGTCCCTGTGACCCAGGGCCCGTTCAGGGACATGCCCAGCCAGGAAGGCCAGCTTGGCACAGAGACGAGAGTCCTGGGGCAGCTCGGCTTCTTGTCATGGGGGGACGTTCCGGCCAGTGGCCAGAGGCCTTGCTGAGAGACACGAGCACACGGCCATGCAGGATTCGGGTCCCAGGGAAACCAGGGCATGCTCAGCCCCTGGGGCGAGACGCCGCTCTCCCCTGATGCCTCCGGTGACTGCTGTGGGGTCACTGCCGAATCCCCCAGTGCCAGGGAGCGGAGTGAGACCTTTCCTAGTGCCAGTGTGTAAACAGGGTGAACTGAAAACCCCCACTCGATGCACCAACCCCTCCCTTGTGCCTCCCTTCTCACCAGGCTGCCCCACTTCCCAGGCAGCGGGCGCCTGATGCAAAGAGCCTCCCCAGGCAAACTGCACTTCGGCCCAGCGGGGAGAACAGCTCAGGCAAACGTGGGACGCTGAGCAAAACGCTCTTCCCAGAGGTACCAGCAATATCTGTGCAGGTGTGTGTGTGTATGCATGCAACCCTCTGTGTATCCCTGTGCACCAGTGGGCGTCCGCATGCATCGCTGTGCGTGTGTGTGTGTTTGTGTGTGTGCTCTTCTCTGGGCATGCATGCAGGGGTGGACAGCCTTGCCCCTTTTCCAACCCAAGCAGCTGGTCAACGTGTGGGGGTGGGGCTGTTCCCGGGGCGCTGAAATTGGTGCCAGGCAGGTATTTCTCTGATGAACGGTGACAAAGAAGGCACAAGGCCCTGCTTCTCCAGACACAGGGGGATCCCAGAACAAAAGGAGCAGGTTCTTAGCAGCCTCTTTAGCCACCAGACCCTAACGCGCTCGCTCTCTCTCTCTCTCTCGCTTTCTCCAGGTCACCCTCTGCTTACCAGCTGCTGCTTGATCTTCCTCCTCTTTGCCTCTGCCCCTCTCTCTGTTCTGCCTCTTCTCAGTTTCCGGGTGTTCGGCCTTCCCTCACACAAGCACCCCCCCCTCACTCAGCCAGACTCCTGGGCAGGGGCACATCCCCCTGTTCTCTTAGGTGGGGGGCTTCTGGTCAGCTCAGCCTGAGTTATGTTAACTGACAGGTGCGTCACCCCCAGTCTCCGAGAGGTTTGTGCTCGATGTAGTCACGAGGACCTCTCAGTGTAACACTGTGTACATGTGCCTGCGTGTGCATCCCTGTGCGTGTGTGTGTACAATGTGTGTATACAGGTGAGTGGTGTGCATGTGGGTGTATCCCTGTGCGTGTGTGTGTACAATGTGTGTATACAGGTGAGTGGTCTGCATGCATGTGGGTGTATCCCTGTGTGTGTGTGTGTGTATGTGTGTGTGTATATAGGAGAGTGGTGTGCATGTGGGTGTATCCCTGTGCGTGTGTGGGTGCGTGTGTGTACAATGTGTGTATATAGGCGAGTGGTGTGCGCATCCCTGTGCATATCTGAATGCGAGTGTCTGCAGGTGGCCTAGGGAAAAGCCACAAGAGCACTAGTGACATTAGCTGACAGCTGGTGGCACAGAACTAACTCCTCCCCCGAGCCCCATTGCCATGCAGGGAGGGGCTGGAGTTCAGTGCCTCCCTCCCCTGGGAAATGGGCTCCGGCTTGCCAGGCTGCTGTAGCTATGGACGCTGGTTCCTGAGCGAGCCCAGCCCGGAGGGACGGAGGGGGAGCCGTGCACGTTACAAATGAAGGGCAGCCCGGTGTGAGAGGTCGGTCAGACACACCTGTGCCATGCGGGGGAGGGCTCATATGGAATCACAGGCGGCAAAAAATTCTCTGCAGCCCACAGGGGGCCAATAGGCCCTGCCCCAGCTACTCCCAGCACCCCCCAGGCACCACACCAGGGCAGGAGGTAAAACCCCTTTCAAATACCCCCCCACAGGGCCTTCCTGGTGTCTCCTTCTTGTCTCTCAAACAGCTGGCAACAGTCCTCCCACTCGGGCACCCGGCTTGGCAGGGCTCACCGGGTCCGAGTGCTGTGCCCGTGTCCCTTCAGCTCAGCCGCGCCCTAGAGCGGAGGAAACCCAGGCAGGCAGCCTCAGGCCAGCAGGGGCCGGGCTACGGGCACCCCCCTGTCCTGGAGAGCTTGGGGCAGGAGCAGCTCAGGGCTCCATTGGGGAGCCAACTGCTCCGGGGGCTGCAGAGGCCAAAGCCACAAACAAGGTGAGTGCCCTCCACGGCGAGCGGCTTCCCCCTGCCCCTGCACTCCTTCGCCGGGCAGCTCCCTGGCCTGCAGGGGAGCCAGCGCCACACAGCACGGGGGGAACGGGGTGGGGGGCAGGGAGGCCGCTAGGAACCGAGGGCGAGGTTGTGCTCAGCCTTAGGCATGCAATAAAGTTTTGCACTCCTGCCCCGGAGCCAGTCCCAGTCCCACTGGGAGTGTGACACGGCTCCACGCTAGCGTCCCCTGCTTGGGCAGGGAGATCACAGCCACGCCCTGCCCCACCGGGCCCCCTGCACACCCTGCAGCGGAGCGGACGCAGCGCTCGGCATGTGACTGCAGCATGCCGTTCCCAGCCCCTGGCTCAGTCAACAGGAGCTCCCCCCACGGCAGCACAGGCCTCTCGGCTGCCCCCAGCGTGGGCCCAGCTGTGGAGCTGGCTCCAATGCCAAGGGCTCTCTCTTTGGAGTGGTGGGTGGGGCTGGGGGCTGGGCAAACCAAGCCAGCCGAGGCCTCCGGAGAAGCTCATGCACTCACTGGCCTGTTAACGCCCGGGCACTGCCTGCAAATCAGACAACACAAAGGCCTTGAACTGGTGCCCTGAGGTGCAAGGCTCTGCCCGCTGCCCCCCGCCCTGAGCTAATGGCACTGTGACACTTCACACCAGCTGCGGCTGTGCCCCAAAGCGGCTAGCAGAATGACCGTGGCTTTGCTGTGTCTGCTCTTGTCCCTACGCAGGACTGGCCGGGTCTGTAGCCGGCTCCTGCCAGCCAAGACAGCTGTGCCCCTGGGTGTGTCTACCAAGGGAAATGCCAGCCTCCACCCTGCAGTGGTACCCACAAGAGCTCTCTGCCCACAGTGGCGGGATGGCCGCGGGAACGGAGCCGGGTTTAACGCTGAACGGACAAGGGAAGACGTAGCCTCGGGGAGAGGCCACCCCCGCCTGCCGCTGCTCTGCCTTTCAGATTGGCGGGCAGGGCTCAGCCGGCGGGCCCCACAGCATGGCAGCTGCCGGGGGCTGAGCGTGTTGGAGCGGGAGAGGACCTGGAGGGCTCTGATGCCCAGATTCCCCGCAGGCCCCCGAAGCTTCCCGGCTAACCCCTTCCCTGCGATGGGCAGGAGGCCCTCTGGCCAGACACCCCAGGGGACGCTCCTCGGAGACCACCTGCTCGCCCAAGCCCGCGGTAAGTGGTGACTCTCGGGAGGTGCTCCCCTGTGCAGCTAGAGCCCGGGAACACTCTGTCGTATGGCACACCTGGCACTGCCCAGCACAGTCTCCGAGCCCGGGGCCCTGCCAGGCCCCAGTCTGTGCCAAGAGGGATCTCTCCTGTCTCCTCTCCTTGCCGGGGGCTTGTGCATTTCCAAAGTGATCCCAGCTGGCTTTACCACCTCCCTTTGGTATTGTTACTACCAGAGCTGCTGGAGGTCCCAGCTGAGCTCAGGGCACGGCCCCAAAGAGCTTACTGCCTCAAGAGACCAAGGGTGGCAAGAGGAACTAATGCACAGAAAGGGGAAGCGACTTGCCCAAGGTCATCCAGCAGGTCAGTGGCAGAGCTGGCAATAGACCCTGGGTCCCCTGAGCCCCTGTCCAGCCCGCTAGCCACTAGGCCGCACTGCCTTCCCTTTTCTGCTCCTTCGACCTTCCCATCCTCCCTCACTGCAGACCCCCCGGAGCTCCCAGTTCTCAGGGCTATGGGCCAGCTCGGGGGGAGGCTCTGTTCTGAAGGAAATGGTCAGTGCCTCCCAGTAGCTACCTGCAGTCACAGGGCAGAGGCCCTGAGCATCAGAGCTGGGCCCTGCCTCGCGCTGGTCCTCCCCAGCTGGCGCTGCCAGGTCTCTGCACTCCGTGAACAGGCTGGCTGGGCCGAAGGCGAGTTCCAGATCTCAGGGCCAATCCCCGTGGCAGTAAAAGCATTGGGCGTCTGTGTCTCTCCAGCCGCCCCAGAAGGAAGATGCGGGCGGGCCCAGCTGCACCCCCTGGCACCACGGCCTCAGCGGGGAGACAAGAGTTTGCAATGGAAAGCAGCCATGAAAAGCAGGTAAATGGGGGGGGGGGGAAGAGGGGGGACAGCAAACAGGTGACCCCCCCCCCCCCGATGGGAGAGGGGAACGGGAGCCATTACTCAGTCCTGTGCTGGGGAGGGGGTGCAGGGGGAGGTGTCAGGAGGCTGGACTGTCTGTGGGCTGTTCCTGCTCCTATGTCCTGGAATTGCGGCTGTTGCTGGATTCCAGCCCAGCTGGCCTGTCCGTACTCCCCTGGCTTCCCTGCCACAGCACTGCCCTGACCCTGCTCCGGGTGCCAGTGCAATTCCATGGCCCACCTCCAGGGGGTGCTGCAGAGCTCCCCCCTCTATGGCCAGGAGCAGGCGTTCTGGGGACTAGCAACCTGCTCACTGCCACTCCCACCAGGCCAAGCCCTTCTTGCACTGAATGAGCCCCTCTGTGCTGGCCTCGGCCAGCTTCTCCCCCCCCCCCCCCCCCCCCCCCCCCCCCCCGCTCCCCCCGCCGGGGCGGGGGGGGGCCCCCCCGCGGGGGGGCGCGCGCCCCCCTGCCCCCCCCCCCCCCCCCCCCCGGCTGGGACATGGCCCTGTTCCAAGCGCTGAGGCTGGTGGAGATGGGTGGATTCAGTCATTTTTGCCTTCCAGGAACCGTGGCCCTTTGGATGAGAAACTGAGGCCGGAGCTGCTTGTACTGGTGGGCGCTGCTATGACCATGCCCTGACAAGCTGTGGTCCTGGGTAATGCCCTGTGCCATCTCTATGGCCTGACTCAGCGCTGACGGAGGCCTAGGGAGCAGGAAATCATCCCTCGAGTCTGGATTTCTCATACAGAACTGACCTGACCTCATGCCTCTGCCTACCCGAGCGGTCCCCAGGGGCTTTACACACCCTGGCTTTGATGGCTGCAGTGAAAGTGCCTGGGAACTCGACTGTCTCCCCAGACACCCACTGGCAGAGCGGAGCAACATCTCATCTAGAGGCTGGCACCTGCTCCAGCTGCCTGCCCTGGTGCCGCTCTGCAGGGAACCCAAGCCCTGGTACAGGACTGGAACCCACAACCGTTAGATTAGAGGGAAAGTGGAGACAGTGAATGTTCGGCACACCCCGGGCAGTGAGGGGCTCTGGGTACAGCCAGGGTGGGCGGCTTGCTGGAGATTAACACACACACTCTCAGTGTGTTACTCTCTGACCCCCATTGGCCAAAGACAGGAGGGCAGGAAGATTACAGACAGGGCCTGGAGGTGGGGACGGAAAATGATGAGAAATGGGGGGCCCTAGAGGCCCCCTCGCCTCTGCTGTCCAGCCTGCGGCGCTGACACAG